CCTTACCTTCCCCCCTCTTTCTCCTTTCTCTCTTTCGACTCTCTTTCCCTTTTAATCTTTTCTTCGTAATTTTTATTGTCATTGTCATTATTAACAGCATCGTGATAGTAATGAAAGCAGCAATGATAGATGACAAAAATAGCGATGATGATGACGATATCAATAACGATAAGAGTAATAATGATGTGATAATGACAATAACAATAAATGCCATAATGATGTTAAAAATAATAACAATGATAATAATGATAATAATGTAATGATGATAGCAATAATTATAATAATAATAATAGTGATTATGATGATCATAGTGACAATGATGATGACGATGATAATGGCAATGATACTACTACTAATAATAACAATAACAACAACAAAAACAGCAACAACAACAATAATTATTAGAATGATAATAATAATAATAACAACAAAAACAACAGAAAATAGAAAATACAAGAATATGAACATTATCAACAACTATGGAAATGATAATAAAAAACACGAGATCATTGTGTCTTGGCTTTGCAATCTAATTCAACATACTCCAAATTGATATGTTAATTAAAAAAAAAAAAAATAATGACCATTAAGATAATTTAACACAATTTATAAAAAAGCCTCTATTGTGTCACATGTTCTAAGAATCAAGGCAAGAATACTAATATGTCTCATGGAAAAAAGTTAAAAAAAGAAAAGAAAAGAAAAGAAAAGAAAAAAAAGAAAAGCAAAGCAAAGAAAAGAAAAGAAAAAAAATATTCGAGGAAAATAATAAATGGTACTTCACAGAAGAGAACGAATGCTCAGTACGGGAAAGGGCAGGAAGACAATAACAACAACAACAACAACCGTAATAACAAAACAAGAACAAAAACTAAACACAGAACAAGAAAATGACCATCAGCAACATCCTCATCATCAACAATAACAACAGTAACAGCGACAACATCATTATCATCATAACCACAATCAACAACAACATGATCGTAACAACCAACAACAACAGCTTCATCCTCCTCATGATCATCAATAACGACAACAACAACAACAACAACAACAAAATCCTCCTCCTCCTCATCGTCGTCATCAGTATCAACAACAACAACAATGACAACAACAACAACATCAACAAAAAAACAACAACAACAAGAACAACAACAACAATGACAACAACATCAACAAAAAACAACAACAACAACGAAAGCTACAACAACAACATCAACTCCTCACAATAAAAAAAAATCCTATTCTCCAGGTGAGGACCGAATATTCCCCAACGGAAAAGAAGAAACACACACAAAAGAAGAGAGAGAGAGAGAAAAGAAAAGTAAAGGGGAAAAAAAGGAGAGGAAAAAGGGAGAATAAAAAATAACGAAAGAGCGTATCTCTGTCCCTGGTGACTCGGCTTCCAATGGCCACTGTGGCAGGCTTTAGAAGAAGGAAGAGGGAGAGGAAGAGGAAGAGGTGGAGGAGGATGGGTGGAAGAGGGAGAGGGAGAGGAAGAGGAGGAAGAGGAGGATGGGAGAGGAAGAGGAGGATGGGTGGAAGAGGAGGAGGGAGAGGAAGAGGAGGGAGGAGGATGAGAGGGAGAGGGATAGGAAGAGGAAGAGGAGGGAGGAGGATGGGAGGAAGAGGAGGAGGGAGAGGAAGAGGAGGAAGGAGGATGGGAGGAAGAGGAAAAGGGAGAGCAAAAGGAGGATGAGACGAAGAGGAAGAAGAAGAGGAGAATGGGAGGAAGAGGGAGAGGGAGAGAAAGAGGAAGATAGAAGGAAAATGAGGATGGGAAGAAGAGGGAGAGGAAGAGGAAGATGAGGGGAAAAGGGAAAGGAAGAGGAGGGAGGAGGGTGGGAAGAAAAGAAAGAGGAAGAAGAAGAGGGAAAGGGCGAGGAGGGAGGAGGATGGGAGGAAGAGAAAGAGGAAGGGGAAGGGAGGGAAGAAGAGGTAGAGGAGCGGGAAAATGAAGGGGAAAGTAAAGGAGGAAGAGGAGGAGGAAGAGAAAGAAGAAGAGGGAGAGGAAGTGAGTGGAGAGGAAGAGATAGAAGAGGGGGAAGAAGGGAGGAAGAGGAGGAGGAAGAGAAGAGGATATCGAGAAAAAAGAAGAGGAGGAGAAGCAGCTACAGGAGGAGAAGAAAGAGGGAGAGGAGAGGGGAGGAAGAAGAGGAGAAAGAAGAAGAGGAAAAGAAAGGGGGAAAGAAGAGAAGACGAAGAGAAGGGGGAAGAAGGGAGGAAGAGGACGAGGAAGGGGCACGAAGGGAGGAGGAGGAGGAGGAAGAAGAAGAAAAAGAGGAAGAAGAAAGGGAGTGGGGTGGAAGGGGGGGGGAAGAGGAAGAGGAAGAGAAAGATGAAAATGACGGGGGAGGGGAAAGAAAAGAAGGAGGAAGAGGAGAAGATGGAATAAAGAAGGAAGTTTGGGAAAAGAGGGAGAGGACGATAGAAGGACAAAGGAAGGGAAAGAGGAGGAAGGAAATATGAGGCTCAGAAAGGAGAGAGAGAGAAAGAGAGAGAGAGAGAAAGAGGGAAAGAGAGAGAGGGAGAGAAGGAGAGAGAGAGAAGCAGAGAGAGAAAGTGAGAGAGAGAGAGAAAGAGGGAAAGAGAGAGAGGGAGAGAAGGAGAGAGAGAGAGGCAGAGAGAAAGAGTGAGAGAGAGAGGAGATAGATAGATAGATAAATAGA